AGAGAGAGAGAGAGAGAGAGAGAGAGAGGGAAAAAACCAAAAGGAGAAAGAAAGATAGAGAATCAATTTCGATTCTAGAGCAGCCTGGGGCCAGAGAAGGGCACTTAATCCCAGACAATCGCTGAAAGGAGCGGTCGATTATTGCATGCTATGTAAGAGTGTATGTCGCGGTTCGCTCAGACCTAGCGTAATCGTCAGTTATAGATCGACAGATTCTTATTGGTTCAGGTCAGGTCTGCCTGACCTTTCCCGAAGTGCCGATTTCTTTCTCCTCTTTTTCTTTCCTTCTTTTAATTAATACTGTCGAATCTGTTGTAACGACCACGACCTGTATAAGAGAGTCACCTGTACAGACGGCCACTTCCCATCTCCCCCTCTTCCTCCTTTGTAGTTTTTTAAATATTTATTATTTTTAAACCACACCACATTATGATGATGGATGAAGCTATGTAAGATGGCCACTAGTCTAAGTTGGACACTTTTCTCCGGTGGCCGTCTTAGACAATTTCGACATTATTATGATACTGAGACGACAGCCTTTTGAGGGCTGTTATGCCCACTTCATGCTATATTATGTAATGGATTCAAGAGAGGCTTGACTGTTAACACTAAATATTATGATTGCATTTATATAGCGCATATCCACACTCTACAGCATGCTGTACGCGCTTTAAATTCTATTATTACCTCAGCACACCCTAGAACACTCAGAAACATTCTCGGTTTTCCTGGAAGCATACAGTGCAAGAAGCCGAATAATCGGTCAAACTCTGACAAACTAACAAGATAGCATTTTGGATGAGGTTTTTTGCAGACACTTGTTATGAAGTTAGATTTGTTGTGTGAATTGTCGTTAACTTGCTGATATCTAGCTGTTGCTGCTTGTTTTTCGAAGTTGATCTTTTTTTTTTAGTTCTCGACACGGATGGTTTGAGTGAGCAATTTGTGCTTTCATCCGTTCTTTATTTATTTCTGTCTTTCATGCCTTTCCCTTTCATTTACTGTCCTTTTCTTTACTCTAGCTCACCACTGAAAGGCATGCTCAGTGGGCTGTCTTTATCTCGAAGCGTTCAGGTTTGTCTTCGGGTAATGGAAAAACAGGAGTGTGGGGGTTGGGGTGGATACAATTCCGTATGGACCGCTGTATCGGGTTAACTCGGTATGCATAGGCTTGTCCGTGCCGCTTCGAGGATTTGAATATTGTCTCTGTTTCTGTGATCACTGCGTCGATTACCTCT